CAAAGATTGAAGGCTTATCCTAACTCCATGTCACTAATCCTTTTATTAGCTAGATGAGAAAACAGACTACAAAAGAGGCGAAGAATTTAATTAACTTTAAATAAGCAGAGATTAGCTGAACTCTCCAGCGAGAGATGCCGAACTCCAGCCTCTCACAGCAGATAAGGACATTTTGAAAGGCGTCTCTACAAATGAGGCAGAGATAAAATCGGCAGGATTCCTAGGGATTCCAGGGGAGACAGGTTGATGCCCTCATTGTGAAAATAAACCACAGACTGGACTGTAGGCAGGCTTGTAGGGCATTTTCTTTTCATTAGCAGAGGCTTTGGATTCTGTCTAAACGTCAGGCAAACCTCAGCTGTTCCCAGGGGTCAGCCGAGGTTGAACCCCAAGAGACATTCATCCTCCTGGGTTGCTTCTTGCCTTCAACAGGAATCTTTGCCCAGAAACCCCAACTCTGTAACCTTGACGTCACTGACGACCCTGAACATAGGTGCTGGCTAGTTTTATGTCAACTTGACACAAACTGGAGTCATCTGGGAGGAGGGAGCCCAATTTGAGAAATCGCCTCTTTAAGACTGGACTGTAGGCACGCTTGTAGGGCATTTTCTTTTCATTAGTGACGGACAGGGGAAGGTTTGCCTGTTCTGGGTGGGGCCATCTCTGGGCTGGCAGTCCTGGCTTCTATAAGAAATCAGACCATGCAAATCATGGGGAGCAAGCCAGTGAGCAGCACCCTTCCATGGCCTCTGCGTGGCTCCTGCCTCCAGGTTCCTGCCTAGTCTGGGTTCCTGTTTTGGCTTCTTTCAATGAACTGTGATCCAGGATTAACCCTTTCCTCCATGGGCTGCTTTTGGTCATGGTGTTTCTTCACAGTTGTAAAACCCCTAACTAAGATAGCATATAACAGCACAGTGTCAGCCCCAAAAAAACCCACCACCCTCGATTGGAAAAATGAATCTAACTCCAAATGGCTACCAATGAGGAAATTAGTATAACGTGAAGAAACACTATGCTTACTAAGATCCAATAACAAAACACACACACTGTGCTATTCTGTATACAGTGTGTCGGGATATTTTATGTCTCAAAGAATTTAACATATTTTTTAAAAATTGACGCTTTATATTTAATTGGAATTCTTAGCATTTGACCAATCAGAGTCTTCCTGAACATTGAAAAGTGCTTGGTTAGGCTAGCCTGGCTGCTGAGGACTAGCGATGCCTGGGAGATAACCTACCAGGGACAGCTCCCAGCTCTGGGAAAGATACACTATCACACCTTTCCAGAATACAAAGCAGTACCTAACCCGCTCAAAGAAACAGTCGGTCAGTGGCAGAGACAGAAGTTAAAACTCAGCAGGCTGGGGCCCACTGCTACAGCCGGAGTCTGGAGCATCCCCCAAGGCACAAGTGTTGAAGACCCAGTCCTCAACCTGGTGCTATGAAGAGGTGGTAGATTAAGAACCTAATAGACAACAATGAGTGACCTAACGAGGGATGCCCTTGAAGGTGACTTGGCACTCCCAGCATCTTGCTCTCTCTTCCTCTTTGCTTACCAGCTGCTGTGAGGTAGCAGGCCTCCCTGCCACAGGCTCCCAGCATGATGTGCTGTGTTGTAACAGGCTGGGGGATAATGCAGGTGACTGTGGATGGAAACCTCCTAAATCGTGGGCCGGAAGGAGCTGGTCTCCTTTCAAGTTGGTCTGCACAGGCGTTTTGTCCCAGCGAGAGAGAGAGCTGGGTACTCACTCCAAGGCAGGTTCGGTACTAAGGATTCGGGGCTGGCATGGTTAGGGCCACACGATTACAGGATCTAGTCTGACCTTTTAGGGTTGTGAAATACCAGAGGCAATCAGATACAAAACAATGTGTGAATTTCATATTTTTTGAGAAATTTAATAACTGAAATCATAAACAATTTTAAATATAAAAGGAATTTGATTTTGCATTTTTCTTTTTTATAAATTATTCTGACTAACATGAAATGCTTAAGAAAATCTTACTATATAAGTATGTAAATGTGAAATTTAGCAGTAAATTCGTAAGTTCACTGAGCATTTATCAAAGAATGAAAGTATTTTAATATAAACTTGATAGATTTATAGATAAATTTGAGAATGTGGTTAAATGCTTAGCAAGTAGGCTTAAAATTCGTAACTGTAACAGGACCAGCGAGACAGCTCAGCAGATAAAGACATCAGGACATCCTGGATCCAGTCCCGGAACCCACACAAAGGAAGGAGACCCAGTCACAGCCCACAGTGGAATGAGGGAACGAGTCAGCAAGCTGCCCTCTGACTGCCACATACACACTAACTAAATGTAATAATTTTGATGTACAGACCAAATACATCAAACAAATTTTCAGGTTCCTACTGTGCACAAAAAGCCCTCACATTTAAAATGTCAAGTGAGATGACGTAGGGCGGTACTGGTCGTGTGACCTGGTGACCTGAGCTGGACTCCCGGAACCAAGATAAAGGTAGGAGAGACTCCACGAGATTATCCTCTGATTTCTACAACTGTGAGGCAGTGTGCCCATTCACACCATCCACACATGCGTGTACACACATACACACACATATACGCACCATACACACATCTACATATATGTGACAGTGTGCCCATCCACACCATCTACACATACACACATGCACACACACACTATACACACATGTGCACACACACATACACACATATACGCACCATACACGCATCTACATATATGTGACAGTGTGCCTATCCACACCATCTACACATACACACATGCACACACACTATACACACATGTGCACACACACATATACGCACCATACACGCATCTACATATATGTGACAGTGTGCCCATCCACACCATCTACACATACACACATGCACACACACACTATACACACATGTGCACACACATACGCACATATATGCACCATACACACATCTACATATATGTGACAGTGTGCCTATCCACACCATCTACACATGCACACACACACACTATCCACACATGTGCACACACATAGAGTACCATCCACACACACACAGAGTAGTAGTAGTGATAATAATTTTTAAAGATTTGAAATTCTCATTGATAGTTGGTACAGATATACCCTCAATCGATCGTAGCAGGGGAAATTGAGATAAAGACTCACAGCTCCCCCAGGCGACACGAATGAGGAGGGGTGAGCTCTGCATTCCAGCCAGGTGACAACAGCTCACCTGTCGCTGTCCTAGACCTCCAGATACGGAGACTGTATATATAATATATGTAATATATTTTTTATATGTACACATTATAAAACAGTGGTTCTCAACTTCCTAATGCTGCAATGGTGTGGCGAACCCCAGCCATAAAATTTTCATTGCTACTTCATAACTGTAATTTTGCTACCACTATGAATTGTAATGTAACATCCGTGTTTTCTGATGGTCTCAGGCAGCCCATAATTTCAGCTATGAAAGATTTGTTTGACCCTCTCCCCACAAGGGTCGCGACAGGTTGAGAACCACTGCTGTGGAAGGTCTCAATGGCTGAGTGATAGAACTGTCCCTTAGCAAACTTGATGCCCTGTGTTCAATCCCAAACACCCCTCCCCAGAGACAAGCCAGTTCTAAATGCATAACCCAGAGGAATCAATATGCTGATAAGACAACCCTGGGCTCCCTTGGGGCAGGGGGTAGGAAGGCTCTTTAATTTTTATTTCTACGATGTTCATTATTTGAATGAAAGGAATTCTCTCTTTTCAGCCTTCTTTTAATGCTCTTTCCTGACAATTTGACATAAAGAAGTATAGCGCCTTTTATAGTCCACTCTTCTGTGCTGTCGATCAGGTAATTATTAAATGCTAAACTTATCATCCTGGTTATAGTTTTCCTCCCGTTCATTTACTTTCTCTAGGGAATGTCTAGGGCATAACTGTTGTGGTTTTCCCAGGAAGATTAAACCAAACATTTTGCAGCTGATGGACACTTTCTATAGGCAATTATGTAAGGTTTTTGTTGTTTGTTTGTTTTAAGATTTTTCTTTTCTTGAAAGACTTATTTCCCTTTTGGTTACTAACTCTGGTCTAGCACTGGGGTAGATCTCAGAAGGAGAACTTATCTAAAGTGGGAAAATCCAGTTAAGATGGTTCACAAACCTGGTAAATGAGATAGCCTCTGAAGAAGGACACCGTGGTAAGGAGCTGAATGACGCACGTCGTGCAACAAGCAGTTTGTTTACTCTGCTATGGCTCACGGATCAGACGGCCTTAAGCATTCTGTAATTCTGACACTCGTCAGAATGTGACATGTCACGTTCCATATGTATCTTTATGAATCAATCTGATTTTATAACAAAAATAAACAAATATAAATCTAAATGTCATTAACTTCTTGTGGTTAATAAGTTAATTACCTTTAAAGTTGGATCCTGGGAATGCTTTACTTATCATGACCCAAATATATCCGTATTTTGTCCCGGACTGTTTCCGGGGGGTGGGGGGGTTCTGGATGTAGAAACTTCCAGAGTGCATGCCCGCACAACGCAGCACCTGACCCGGTGAGGACTAGGGGCCAGCGGGGGATTAGGGCGCTGACACAGGATCTGAGCCAGCCACTCACCCAAGGTGGCATTCAGGGCAGAGGAGGAGCATGGGCTATGGAGAAGGGAACTGAAGCCCCGCCCCCGACGCCCCGCCCTTTCTCCTCCCCGCCCCCTGTAAGCCCCGCCCCAGCCTTCCTCGAGCCGTGTGAGCGCCTGCTCCGGGCGTACCCTCGGGCTCGCTTTCTCTCTGCCGTGCGGGGTTGTAAGTCCGGGAAGGTCTGGCACTTTGGCACTTCTAGCGGAGAAACCGGGTTTCTTGCATCCGCGGAGCCCGGGAGTTGCCGTAGCTGTGGACGTGTTGGGATGGGTGGGTGGGTTCTGAAAGAATTCTTTCCCAGCCCGACTGTGATGAAGTGACGGGATGGGCGAAAGGCGAGTATCAGAGCTACATAATGCTTACGCGTGAAGAACTCAGAGCAAGGATGCCAACACGAAATTCTTGGCTTTGGAATGGGGTGGGTGGGGGGTTGGGTTTGGTTGGAGCTGGTCGCCTTATGGCTTTGAACTCCTTCCAAGTGCTGGGATCATAGGCGTGCACCGCCACACCAGGCTACTACAGTACTAAACATTTTTAGGCTAATTCATCGGCACAAGATAGACTCACCGTCTATGTTGCACTAATTTGAAACTGTCTTTCAGCAACACTCCAAGGGCTTACCTGTTAATCACAGTAGATACCCGCCCTAACAACCTTCAGATCAAGAAAATAGAAAGTTCAGACAAGAAAATGGAGGTGTTGGTTTTTCAGGGTTCTCTTCGGGAGTTTGAAAGATACTGGAGAAAAAACTACGGCGAATATTTTTCTCAAACAAACGACGGGAAGCCACTGTCATTTTGATTTATTATCATCATCATTATTATTATTATTGTTATATTATTATTATTATTACCAGTGTATTCATTGGCTGGTGTGCGCCCATGAGGGCAAAGCAAAGCCAGGTGCGTATCCTCAGACTTGGAAGACCCGAGGGAAACAAAGCTTCAGCTCCACACATCATGACAGAAGAATTGAAGATGCTGAAGAGATGTGTAGCTGCAAGAGTTCAGGGCTAGATTCTCCTCCTGGTGGAGCTTCATCCTTGCCGCTTTGATGGCAGCTGCCTAGAGAGACGGCCTGTCAGCTGACCAGTGAAGATTCTGAGCGGCAGGTTAGCTAAATGATCTTGATGGTTTCCCAGCCTCCGACACCACAACCGAGGGCTTGAGGAAACGCTGCATAAAGGACGGGTTTGTAAGTTCCTATTTGAGAGACCGCAATGTAAAATTAGAACTAGGGCATTTATTTTTATCACACTTAGTAATAAAGGGTAAATTTTTAAAAGCGTAGGCTGGATACGTGCCATCCGTTATTGGAACTGTCGCAGCTGTGGCATCTCCTTTGTCATCATTGTACAGAGAGAAAAAACATGCTTTGGAGAATGGGAGGTGAGTTGGCCAAGGTAATATGGTTCCTAAGATACCAGCTGAAGAGTGAACACTGGTTATCCATCTATCTCTCTCTCAAAAAAAAAAAATCCTATTAGACTGATGAGATGGCCTCGACAAATGCATCCTGGCACGCGACATATGCATACAAACAAAATAAATTTAAATTTAAGAATGACTGAGCATCTTGATGATAAATCTCCTCAAGGAGTTGGAGTCCAGGTGCATGCTTCTTACTCCAGCCCTTGGGAGCCTGGTGTCAGCATCTGTTTAGGCCACCTTGGCCTGTGTAGCAAGATCTGTCTAAAAGCCAAACAGAAAACCCACACAAGAAACAGCCTTAGGTGTGGTGTTGCATTCCTGTAATCCGAGTGTTTAGGGGACCTATCTGGACCCAGTGCTATAGGAGATGCAAAAGATACTAAAGCCACACAGCCCATGTTTAATATACTATATTAAATATTACAACAACCATTGTGATTGCAAGCTATTCAGCAAAAACTTACAGGGCTTTACTTTAAGTTAAATTTTATTTGAAAGTTTGTCAGAACGAGGAAGCAAATGTTAGCACTCTTGTGTTTGAAGGCAGTTTGGCTGTTTAAGACTGTGTTCAGATGTCTGATTTTCAGATCAGGTAGTACTGGTTTCAAACATGAACTGGGAAGCCTTTCCTGAGGTATTTGTGAAAATTTGCCACTAACCCCTCTCTAAATGTCTGGTAGAATTCAGTGGTGAAACCATCTGGACCTACTGTTTTCTTTGCAGGAAGGTTCCTTTTTCTTAATCACTAATTCAGTCTACAGTAGTGGCGCATGCAGTTTGCAAGAGACTGCCAAACTGTTTCTCAGAGCGAATAACCCACTTTGCCTTGCTGCACCATATGTGATTTGTCTATCAGCGTTTCAGAATGTCGCTATTTTTTTTTATTTTAGCCATTCTGATGTATAGAAATATCCCACTATAATTTAAAAACATTTATTATTATTATTATTATTGCATGTTTGTATGTGTGTGTATACATGCAATTGGGTAACACCTGTGTGGAGGTCAGAGACAACTCAGGGATGGGTTCTCTCCTTCCACCGTGTGGGGCCTGTGGATTAAACTTAAGTCATCAGGGTTGGTGGTAACAAGTCCCTTCACCAGCTCAGCCATCTTCCCCTTCCCTCGCTGTAGCTTTAATTTACTTTTCCCCAACTACTGATAAGGGCTGAACTCTTTTCAATATCTGCTTGTGCGTGCATATTCTTTTTAGTGGGATGTCTTTTTCTCAGATTCTGATTGGGTTTGATTTGTATTCTTGATATATTCCAGATACACTTCTCTTCTGTAATATGTGGTTTACAAATATTTTCTCCTGATCTGTAACTTGTTTTTCTGACTTCACAACATTTTCTACAGAGTAGCATCTCAGCTTTGATGAAGTACAATTGATATGTTTTTTTTTTCCTTTAATGAATTAACTTTGGAAGTCTTTGTCTCTCCCACCTTAGATCTAAAACATTTCTCTCATTTTATTCATAAATGTTTAACATGTTGTGTTTACATCCAGGCTACAGTTTGAGTTAGGTTTCGCTAAGGTTGGTTTACAGGGCTTGGAGCCAATCTCCGCTGGGAGAGGAGGAGATGGCTTAGAGGCTAACGGTGCCTTAAAGCCTGGCATCCTGATCCACACCCCCAATCCGTAGAAGAAGGAAAGAGCTGATCTGAAAGCTGCCCTCTGACCTCCATGTGCGTGCACACAGGTCCCGGTACCTTCCACAGCCATCAGTAATAACTGTGATGGGTCTTTCTTTGGTCTGCCAGCTCCCCAATAATGACATGGAGACTGTTTTTTTTTTTTTTTTAATTAATTTGGAAAGCTTGGCCTTCATTTAGGCTTGTTCCCAACTAGCTTTTAAAACTTAAATTTTAAGAAGACCCGAGTCTGGTTCCCAGCACCCACACAGCAGCTCACAACCTTCTGCAACTCCAGTTTCAGGGGATCTGACTCCCTCTTCTGGTCTCCACAGGCGTCTGCATGCACACACACTAAAATAGAAAAGAAGAAAAAGCAAATTACTCTCCCACAGCGCTGGAGGATAGGAACGCTAAGAACCTGGTATTGGCCGATGCAGTGCCTGGTGAGAGGCAGTTCACAGATGGGTAAGTGCGGATTCTCAGGTGTCCTCACAGAGCAGACGGCCTCTGTGCTAAGGACTGAAGTCAGGAAGGAAATGGACCATCCAGGCAAGCACTCCACCACTGAGCTACATCCCAATCAAGCATGAGCCTTCACAAAGTTATCTTGATTCCTGTATTTATTTTTGTGTATGTATCTACCTGCGTGCCATGGCATAGCTGTGGAGATCAGAGGACGCTTGTGGAAGTCAGTTCTCTCCTTCCATCATGAGAGCTCCAGGGATGAAGTTCATCAGACTTGTTAGCAAGCACCTGTAACCTTTACCTACTGAGCTATTCTGCCAATTGAGACATTTTTATGTGGGAGCCCACAGAAGTGGGTCCGGTCCACCTTGACCAAAGGTCAGAGAGTTTAGGCCCTATTCTTGCTAAAGTTTGACCAAGGGAGTGGCTGTCTACAGGATGCTTGGTCTAAGGTGTGGTCGCTGCACGTCCTGCCTGAACAACAGAATGTTTAACTCGAGATTTAGTTGCTTGATGCTTCAGGTATTGAACAAGTAATTGCTCTGTTTGTGCTTTGTGTCAGTTCAAGCAGTCTTTTGTCTTCTCTCCCCCGCCCTTTGGATTGGTGTATATAAGTCCTATGGAAAATAAACGCAAGTGAATTCAGTGTTCACTGGATGGCCCTCCGTGTTCTATTCTGTGTCTCCTCTGTCCCTTTTGCTTAATGTTTCTCATCCTCACGCCCTCCACCCTGGAACGTGTGAACCCCATCAAGGCTGGACCCCAACAGATGGCTGCCCAATGTGGGGACCTCAACCGATGGTTCCCCAATATGGGGCCCTGACATTTTTATACTTAAGCCCATTCACAAACCATCCCCACACTTCCTTCTGCAGTAAAAGGTTTTCAAGCTTAAAGGAAGAGATGGGAAGAAGGCAGAGGAAAGTCACCCACTGGATGCCTGACACCGGAGAATCTGAAGTTCTTGTTTGATGTGTTGACAGCCCGATGGTGTCTGCGGATTGTCTAGATGTAACAGGGACTGTACCATGTTGCTGTAAACACTTTTTTGTGGGTAAAAATTAACTATTGAGGGAGCGCTCTGTTGGGAATTCTGTAGCATTAAGGCAGCATTGGTGACAGTTGTAGCTGTTGTTTGAGGTGAACATTCACATGTCTCTGACTCCTCACTAAGGGTTATGAATGCAAGCTTAGCGTGATTTAGCCAGGGTGAGGAACTGCATTTTCTGAGCCCTATTTCATAGTATAATACACCTTAGAGCTAATTTCTAAACAGATAATTTTAAGTTCCTTTTGCTGAAGATTTGGCGACCTACAATATTTATAACTCTCTTAGACTCCATTTCTGCTCAGAAGTATTAGATCACACACCTATAATTCCAGCTGTTCAGGGGGCTGAGGCAGGAGGATCACAAGTTTAAGGCCAACCTAGTCAACAAAGAGACTGTCTCAAAATGAAGTAGAAAAGGATTGGGGACCAGGAATAGTTGTGGTCCCAGGTGAGAGGAGGAGGCAGGAGGCAGGCCTGGTCCACACAGCAAGAAGAAAAAGGAGAATAGGAAGAAGGCAAACGAGGAGAGGAGAGAAGGGGGTGATGTTAGTTATGGTGTGTGCATAGCAAGCTTGAGGCCCTCCATCCAGTTCTCTATACCAAGGTGATGTGGGAGAGTCTTCTGTTTTGTGTTGATTTCATTGGTTAATAAACAAACTGCCTTGGCCCTTTAATAGGGCAGAAAAATTAGGTAGGCATTCTGTTCTACTAGACAGAACAGAATGCTGGGAGAAAGAAGCCGAGTGAGGCAGATGCCATGCCTCTTCTCTCCAGGCAGACGCTATAGCTCTCCTCTCTAAGATGGACTCAGGTTAAGATCCTTCTCGGTAAGCCACCACGTCGTGGTGCTACACAGATTATTAGAAATGGGTTAATCAAGATGTGAGAATTAGCCAGTAAGAGGCTAGAGCTAATGGGCCAGGCAGTGTTTAAAAGAATACAGTTTCTGTGTAATTATTTCGGGTATAAAGCTAGCCAGTGGTGGGAGCCGCATGGAGGGAAGTGGCCTGCAGCCTCATACAACACCAAGGCTAGCCTTTGGCTTACTTACACACACACACACCACACACACATACACCACACACACACACCACACACACATGCCACACACATACAACACACACCACACACACACCACATACATACACCACACACACACCACACACACACCACACACACACACCACACACATACCACACACATACACCACACACACACACCACACACCAGTACTAAAGTCAATGTCTGACCAGACAGCAAATGTCCAGCAGATCCAGAAGCAACTTCATTCTAGCCTGTGTAGGAATGCAAGTGGTCAGGTGACCCAGCAATGTCTCTCCCATTTGACCCTCCCAGCTCTGTCCTCCCCTGACCTTCAGCAGTCCACTTCTGACCCAGTGGTTATGAATTTCTTCATCATGATGTTGGAGAGTGCCTAATTGTAACTTTGTTAAATTTAACTAGGAAGCTATCTAGGCCCAGGCTTTCTTTTTTTCTTTCTTTTAAAAAAATTGTATCACTGGGTAGTGGCGGCATATGCCTTTAATCCCAGCACTAGGCGGAGGCAGAGACAGGCAGATGATCTGTAGATGGAGTTCCAGGACAGCCAGGGTGGGTACATAGAGAAGCCCTGTCATAAATAAATGTATGGGTGTTTTCCCTACATGTATGTCTATATGCCGTGTGTATGCCTTATGCCCACAGAACCCCTGGGGATGGAGTTAGAAATGATTGTGAGCCACCATGTGGGGGCCCTGAAGGAGTAGCCAGTGCTCATATCCAATGAACCATCTTTCTAGCTTCTAGGCTTTTGTTTATGAATAGTTTTTCTTTTTAATTTTTATATGTATATATGTGTGTGTTTATGTATAACGTATATACAAAAATATATAATATATACAGATATACACATATACATATACTATATACATACATATATATGTATACACACACATATATGAGAAAGAGAGAGGGTCACATATGTGTCTTAGCCTGAATTTAAAATCTTTGTGCAGCCCAGTCTAGCCTCAAGTCTATGTTCCTCCTGTCTCTCTACCTCCACAGTGCTGGGTTACAGACTTATGCCACCATGCCCAGTCTTAAACTAGTATGCGCTCTATTCAGTTGTTGTGGGTCTACTGAAGCTGTCTTCTGTAGCTTAGGTAGTTTGTGCCTTTTCAGGAGTCTTATCTAATTTGCTGACATAGTTTTCCTCCTCTTCTCTTATCACACAACCAGACTGATATTCCTAAACACGATTCACACTTTCCTGACCCCTTAGTCTTGTACTAGAATGCCTTCAGCTCAAACTCTACTTTCTGAAATGTATCAAATACCTCTGGGACCAAACTGTACTCCAGAGTCCTCTAGGGAACACATGAACAAGCAGATATGATAAGGTCTCGACTCTCAGAGAGCTCTTTGTCTAATATAATGTTTCCTAAAGTGTGTTCTTCAAAAGTCCTTCAAAATACAAATTAGCTAGATTCTATACCAGGTGTGGGCCCCATCAAGCAGGTGAAGTGGAGACTGCATTGACCTGAAGCCCCCTCCTACCCTCAGACCGTTAAGAGATCCCTGCCTGTTGGTCCATTGACAGGTTGGTAGGGCCATCGTCAAGACCATGTTAAGCATTCTTCCCTTTGGGGCTCCAGGTGAGAGTTCTGTTTCCTTGATCTATCTTGTTAGGTAAATGTACGGGCCTGAAGGCAGGGCTTGTGGCTCAGTGGAAGAGCATTTGGCACGCTCAAGGTCACCTAGGTTCAGTCCCCAGCACTGTGAAAAAGGGTCCTTTTTTTTCTGTTACATCTCCCTCCCCCCCTCCCTCCCTCCCTCCCTCCCTCCCTCCCTCCCTCCATCCCTCCCCGCTTCTCTCATCTCTCCATACTCAGACAGCCCTGAAACTCACCGCGTATCTGGGAATGACCTGGAACTTTGGTGATCTTCCCATTTCTCCCTCCCAAATGACGGATTGCACTCAGTTTTGTGGGATGCTGAGGATCAAACCCAGGGACTCCTACATGCCAGCCAGCCAGTCTGCTAACCGAGTTATATACCCAGCCCTTCTGTTACAGCTTTAACACACTCTTGTACCCACATAGTCAAAGTGATATAAACTAGCCCTGACAGCCAGGTAAAGCTGGAAAGTCAGTTTCATAAACTTAGAGCAGGGCACAGCCTACTCTCCAGACTGTATCATTTCTTCCAAGGCAGTACTTAATTCTCATTGGCATCTTTGCTTCTCTAAGATGTTCTGATACAGACAAGCCCAGTGTTTACCTATTTCCCAAGACCATGTGGCCACAGAACCTTCTGAAGCTTTATATAACATCTGGAAATGACCCAAAGCACATCTGTTCTGTGAAACACACTTCAGAAAACAAAGCAGTATACTAATTAATATGTACACCCAAATTAGCATTGCATAGCCGAGAGCTAGTGTTTGGGAAAATGAAGGAAAGGCAGGGAAGGAAGAGGAAGTAGTAACTTTCAGGCTATAAGAAGGACAACCAGAGATGGAGGTGTTCAGGGTAAAGGAAGCTAAGGAAAGAGACAGGTCAAGACCATGGAGGTCAAAGACACCAAGAAAGGACTTTCGGGGTTGACATCGTTGAAACCCGTGTCAACCTTCTGAAGGAAAATCCCGGGATGAGAGCAGAATGTTGGCCGAAGAAATGTCAGCAAGTACTGGAGAAGCTGGGCTTCAAGAAAGGAGAGAGATTATTGTTCTTATTTGCTGGTTTTTCTTTTCAGCCCCAAGAACTGTGCCTGGTGTGTTCAAAACTCTAAATAAACACTAAATAAGTGAATTAATTAATCCATGATGAGTGACTGTTGAAGAAAAAGTGGATTAAACCAGGCATGACGGTGCACAGTTCCAGAGAGTAGCAAGGAAGACCCAAGTCCAGCTATATATTGGGTTATGCTTTGGCTACATGGGCTGTCATGGGGAGAGGGTGGGGACTAGGGCTGTCATGGGGAGGGGGAGGGGGAAAAGGGATGAAAAGGGGAGGGGGAGGGGGACTAGGGCTGTCAAGGGGAGGGGTGGGGACTAGAAGCAAGGGAGGTTATAAAGGAGGGAACATCTTGAACAGGTTCTAGGCTGAAGACTCTCCTTGTTGCAAAGTTGGCAAACCTGGGGCCTCTGGGGTAGCTGAGGGGGGAAGGCCTAGCCTGACCATCCAAATTTGATCCTGGGACAGACATGGTGGAAGACAAGAACCAACTCCCACAGGTTGTCCTCTGACTTCCACACATGCCCTGTGGCCTGCACCCTCTACATGCATACACACACCTCACACAACAATGTGGAAAGAGAAAACACAGCTCACTGCCAAGCACTGTGGTGATGAGAGCAAGAAAGAATGAGACCAAGGCCCTAGGTACCCATGAAAGGCAGGGCTCATCATGGCCACATGAATTTGCAGCAGTCACTCAACTGTCCACGCCAGAGATCAATCTTTAGGGCTTCCTTGCCTTCGCCTTCTTGATACCAGTTTTCTCATTTCCATAATTTTATGGCCCCACATCCACTCCTGTTTGTGCACATGCCCCCAAGCACTAAATAAAGCTCTCGTCACGTCTTGCCTGGAACGTTAGAATGGCT